GATATATTTTTGTTATGCATAAAGTACTGTATATTGATGCATATTACTTAAAATTCAAGATTACAAGTAATTATGCATAAGTACAACTTATTAAAGTTCGATGTTTGAATTCGTGTAAATAACTACGGATAAACATAATCAAATAGATGATAAACATCTCATTTTAAAATATAAAAAATCTAAAATATAATTAGAATATCTATCGAGTTCTAACATAATAAATAATTACTATCTTTATAAAAAAATATATTATTAAATAAAAAATAAAAAAATGAATTAAAGAAATACACAAAAAACAAGAAATTTTAAATAGTTAGTTTGATATTAATACCAATATTTTTTTTATTATTTATAACATTTTCATATTTATATTTTATCAAAAATAAAAACAATGTCGCTTTCTTAAGACCACATAAAACAGTATTATAATATCGACTAAGACAAAAAAAACGGAACATTAAAATCGAGATGTATCTTACTGCAGTGACAATTACTGTTTTAGTATATTCTAAAAGCATTCTTTTGGTTTAAGGAGTCGAAATCATATCCATAAGAATCTCATCACACGTCACAAATCGTATGAAATCACGTTTTTATTTTTTAATGTTAAAAATCTTTTATTAATTTAATGGTATTTTGATCTTTTTAGTTTATTAAAAATCATTTTCTTTTTTTGTCAAACTCATTTTCATTCCATCCCTTCCTTTACTTTACCTTCTTATTTTTCTACTTTTTTTATTTTTATAAAAATAACCCTTAATAAAATTATATATTTTTAATATAATACATAAAATTATATTAATATAAATAATCGTATATATACTAAAATGTATTTAAAAGATATGTTTCTTTTTTTACAAATTATATCATTATAATTGTTTTGTCAATATATTCAAAATGAGCTCAATATTAAATACTTTTAAACTTAATATATTATTAAGGTGATGTTTATTTTTAAGGGTTGCTGAAGTTTAAAGTCTTATTTCAATTCTGATTGGTAAGAGGTGGTGTTGAAGTTTGAAAGATGAATCAATAAGACTTTTTGTTTTTGTTTAAATTATCTATTTTACTAATTAAAAAATTACAGTGTTGGGTTTATAGATAAATTTATACAATTTCACATATTTATTCATCATCATTACGAAATTTACATCTAAATTATATAATCAATTATTTAAAAGAAAATATGTCATTAACGATATTTAACAGTTAACACAATACATCAATTAGGAGAGGTGAAGATCGATTTGATGAGGATCGAATGAGAGAAATGATTGTTAAGGATAATCTATTTTTAATTGCTTGTTTAAATTTCGTTATTAAAAGCACCAAACTCGCTAAAATATATATTTTTTTCTTCTTTTATTGAAATCATTGCATCATCGACCTACTATTCGTAACTTTGAAGTCCAGTCCCTGTGGAAATATTATCGGTATTTTTACCACTTTATTACTTGAAAACGATCATAGTATCCGGTGTGCACTTGCATGTCCACTTTGTGGACATATACAATTTCCGCTATCAGCATGCTTGTCTAATATCGATCAACCTTGATCTTGTAATCCGTTAGGGAGTCATTTATTCATGAATGTTGGATCTTCTACGGTCTACACCGTTGAACCAAACATTCAACTCACCCTTACGAGTGTACTCTCTTCTCGAGTCCTACATTCTACCGTCATTCGGTGCCTCTCTTTGTATTTCATGGTCTTTACTTACTCTTTTATTGGTCACAACTGAGCTTGAAACAAAAAAGGGGATTTTCTAGTTACTTAGCTTTATTAGAAGGTCGATAAGTTGGGTCAATCTCCACGCCCTTCTCATCTCTAGGAGTGGCAAGAAACATTCACTTACTACTCGCTCGCTCCAGTACCGAGGCCAATCAAGGGGTAGTTTGATATTGCTTATAAAAACAATTTATTGACTTATTCTGGTGTGGTGCCAGTAATAAGCATTTTTGAGTGTTTGGATAAACAACTTATACCGGTATCAAACCAATAATAAGAAATTTTTGAAAAAGTTAAACTCTTTTGACTTATATTAAGTTAATAAGTGTTTTTGTA